TAATACCCAACCTAGCAAATATAAGGAGATCCATATTGGATATATCGATGTAGAGTGCAACAGTGTTCGACCTCCGGCTACATTCAAAGCACACACCGCCCTGGAAGGTACTATTCTGATCAATGGCAAAAAGACTCAAGTCCTTTTCGACACTGGCGCGATCGGAAGAGATATGATCAGTAATGCCTTTGTCTCTGTCCATGGACTCCAAACTCGAGACCTTAACCAACCCATACTAGTCAATATGGCAGTAAAGGGATCACAATCCACAAGCCATAAAACCTGTAGCGCGACTATTCGACTTGGTTCTGCTGTACTACCCCCCCAGGAAATGCTGGTTGGAAATCTAGCCAAATACGATGCCCTAATAGGTATGCCATTCCTGAACCGCTACAAAGCTATAATCAGGTGTGGGGAATCAACCATCGATTTCCCAGATCAGAAGGTCAGAGTCTCATGCAAGCCAACAAGCGGAGAGTACCGAGCCACAGTCTGTGAAGCAACTGCCTAACGACTATTGGATGAATACTCTGATGTTTTCCCTGATCAAATACCCGAAGAACTACTACCTATGAGAGAGGTGAATCACCACATTCGCCTCCGAGACCCCTCTAATCTCAAGAACCAACCCACCTACTATATTCCTGACGCATACAAAAGCCCACTTTGTGATTGCATCAACCAACAACAAAGCAGAGGAGTCATCTACAAAGCAGAAGGCCCAGGTGCCACTCCTATATTTGTTCAACCCAAATCAGATGGCAAAAGAATCCGCCCCCTGGTTGACCTCAAACTACGGAATGAAAACATGGTTATGGACAGTTCTGCTATCCCACACCTAACCCAAATCCTGAATGCAGTTGGAAGAGCTAGATTCCGAAGTAAGATTGACCTAAGCGATGCCTATTTCCAGACAAGGTTAGACCCAAAAAGGGAACGCTACAATAGTTTCAAAACACCCTTCGGAAGTTTCATTGACCGAGTTATGTTACAAGGTGATATGAATGCACCCGCTACCTTTATGTGAATTTTGGAAAACCTTCTGAGCGAATACCTCCACCATTTTGTTTGGGTCTACATTGATGATATTCTCATTTTCTCGAACACTAAAACAGAACACACCTACCATATAGGTTTGGTTTGTACCAAGTTAAGGGAAGCAAAGTTTTTCGCTAGCAGAAACAAATCAACCCTGTTCGCCGATAAACTCGATATCCTAGGACATGTAATAGATGACGAAGGAATACATGCAGCCCCTGCAAAAATATCCTGTTTGACAGAATGGATGACACCCCAGAATCAAAAAGAACTCATGCGATTCCTAGGACTAGTCAACTATGTTTCCCAGTTCCTTCCACACCATGCTACTGTGACAGCGCCGCTCACAGACCTTACCGGCAATGCAGAATTTGTCTGCACCCACACTCATGACCAAGCCTTTACTAACAGTAAGGAACTAATTAAAAATGCCAATGTTATACAACCTATCAACTACAGTAAACCGGAACCGATATGGGTGATTACTGATGCATCAGATGTTGCAGTTGGAGCATGGGTTGGACAAGGGGCCTTCCATGAAATGGCAAGACCAGCGGCATTACATAGCAGGAAGTTCACTAACTCGCAGATGAACTATGGAACAACAGACAAAGAAGACCTTGCTGTAATTGATGCTCTCGCCGCCTTCAACCACATCCTGATGGGCAATACCTTCACTATTGTTACCGACCACCAACCCCTCACTAATCTTAAAATAGAAAGAATACCTGGAAGGAGAAGAACAAGATGGATAGGCGAAATCAGCAAATACGATGCAAAAATCATATATACCCCTGGAAGAACGAACTATTTAGCTGATGCTCTCTCCCGCCTATATGAAAATCAAGACCTCACAGATCCTCCCCTCGTTCATGACTACACAAGACAAAGCGAAGACAGTCCTGACGACACCTCCTATGAACAAGAACCTTCAATGGCTACCGCCAGCTCAGACGCTCCCTCTAATCCTTTCTCTTACACCATGTACAGAGGTGCTGGAACTGAGCAAGGAAAGGACATTGATGACGAATGGAAAGACAATTGCACCCTCCGCAGCACACCTTCTCACGAGCTTGAACAAAGCAGACTCCACTGGTCCCACTGTTATCATGACACCTGCCCTTTCCACCAGACTGAGATTAAGTTCGGCAATAGATACCAGCGACCATACTATATATCTGCTGATGATTCCAAAAATACTAGCTTCGACACCACAGAAGAAGTGTAACCGGTACGGGTACTCGGTGAGTGGTTTTGTTTTATGTTTTGTTTTAAGTATCGTTTTGATACTTGGTTTGTTTTAAGTATCGTCTGATACTTGGTTTTGTTTTATGTTTTGTTTTAAGTATCGTTTTGATACTTGGTTTGTTTTAAGTATCGTCTGATACTTGGTTTTGTTTTATGTTTTGTTTTAAGTATCGCTTTGATACTTAAAGAGTTTTACCAAAGTGTATCGATTGATACCTTTGATTAGTTTCGTTCATGCTAGACATGAACAGATTTGTGTATTTAAAGACCGCCTGTTTCTACGATAGAAAAGGCAGACTTCGACAGACAGTATTTCAATATACTTGGTTGAACGGTTACTTCTTTGTTCCCCAGTACACCCTCGAAGCCTCCTTTAGTTCTCAGCTCTCACCTCCTCTCTTGAAGAGCAGGCCACCTGCCAACTATCGTATCTATTACCGATAACGTGATTAGCACCTTGCGAACACGTTATATTTTTTTAACCTCAGCAAGTGGTTAAGAACCTGTCCCCGGATTTAGGCCTGATCAACCTATTGATATCCACCTCAGAACGCTAGCGGAGAGAAGCGGCAGAATCAGAGTACATTCGGCTTCATCTCAAACCCAAGATAGAGTCTTTAACGACCAGGAGTGGGAAGCAAATCCCACAGCAAGACCTTACAAGGAAGAAACAACCCCGGCACTCTGCTAAAGAGCCGGGCGATCCTGCAAACACGGAAGATACACAACCTCCAGGAGAATTCCCTTCTACTCCAGCAAAGAAGCCTTCCTTTGAACCTCCAAACGATCCCGAATCTAGTAGCGAATCAGATATGGCTAGCACAGGAGGAGGGCCTTCTGGAGGAGGGAAATCTCGGGCAAGGCCTGAAGAAGAGGAGGTACCCACAGCATTTGAACCCCCTAAGTTTAAACTTCACCTCCCAGCGAAGTTCACAGGCGAAGGGAAAGATCTCAAACCTGAAGCCTTTGAACGATGGGCCACAGAACTCTCACACTTCCTACTCTTACAAGGAAAAGATGTGGAAGACCCTACAACTGGATTTATCATTGGATCATTCTGTGAAGGAAAGGCAACCGACGCATACCACCAATGCTATAAGGATTTCGGCGGGAATGTAAGATTAAGAGGATCTACAGTTCTCGATTACCTGAAAGGACGATTCCAATCCTCTATAACCAATGACCTCCTATACAACAAATTCAACCAGCTCCAGCAAGTTAACGGAACGCATGTCAAGCGCATCACCGATGTGGCTACGGACCTAATAATGTATAAGGACCGAATGGAGAGAGGAAGTATCTCCAAATACATCCTGAAGCGACGATTCTACGACACCATGCACCCTACCCTCCGGCGAGAAGTAGAACCACTCGAGGAAGATGGCGATGATATAGCAATAATAATTGCAAGAGCAGAACGAAAGGACGCCATTCTCCATGAGACCAAGGCCTACAAAACACAGACATCCTCTAATAGGAGCAGCCAGCCACGACACAAAGCCTCTAGCAACTCTGGAGACAATACCTCACGCGTTTTCAAGAAGAAAACAAAGTCCTCCAAAGAGTCGAGACGGCAAAAAGGAGAATGTTTTGAATGTGGAAAAACAGGGCACATGGCAAAGAACTGTCCTACAAAGAAAGGAAAAGGAAAGGCAATTAAGCAAGAGGCGTCGGCCAACAATGTTGAAAGCAATAACGCCCAATCCAGTGAATACGAAGAGATCCATATAGGATATATCGATGTGGAATGCAATAGTGTTCGACCTCCGGCTACATTCACAGTACACACCGCTCTAGAAGGTACCATCCTGATCAATGGCAAAAGGGCTCGAGTCCTATTCGACACTGGTGCGATCAGAAGAGATATGATCAGTAATGCCTTTGTCTCTGTCCATGGACTCCCCACTCGAGACCTTAACCAACCCATACCAGTCAATATGGCAGTAAAAGGATCACGATCCACAAGCCATAAAAGCTGTAGTGCGACCATTCGACTTGGTTCTGCAGTCCTACCCCCCCAGGAAATGCTGGTTGGAAATTTAGCCAAATACGATGCCCTAATAGGCATGCCATTCCTGAACCGCCACAAAGCTATAATCAGGTGTGGGGAATCAACTATCGATTTCCCAGATCAGAAGGTCAGAGTCTCATGCAAACCAACAAGGGGAGAATACCGAGCTGCAGTCTGTGAAACAACTGCCCTTCGACTATTGGATGAGTACTCTGATGTTTTCCCTGATCAAATACCCGAAGAACTACCGCCTATGAGAGAGGTGAATCACCACATCCGCCTCCGAGACCCCTCTAATCTAAAAAACCAACCCACCTACTCTATTCCTGACGCATACAAAGGCTCACTTTGTGATTGGATCAACCAACAACAAAGAAGAGGAGTCATCTACCGGGCAGAAGCCCCAGGTACCGCTCCTATGTTCGTTCAACCCAAAGCAGATGGCAAAAGAATCCGCCCCTTGGTTGATCTCAAGCTACGGAACGAAAACACGGTTATGGACAGCTCCGCTATCCCAAACCAAACCCAGATCCTAAATGCAGTTGGACGGGCTAGATTCCGAAGTAAGATTGACCTAAGCGATGCCTACTTCCAAACAAGATTAGATCCAAAAAGTGAATGTTACAACAGTTTCAAAACACCCTTCGGAAGTTTCATTAGCCGAGTTATGTTACAAGGTGATATGAATGCGCCCGCCACCTTTATGCGAATTATGGAAAACCTCCTAAGTGAATACCTCCACCATTTTGTTTGGGTCTACATTGATGATATTCTCATCTTCTCGAACACCGCAGTAGAACACGGCTACCATATAGGTTTGGTTTGTACCAAACTTAGGGAAGCTAAATTCTACGCTAGCAGAAACAAATCAATCCTGTTTGCCGACAAACTCGATATTCTAGGACATGTCATAGATGATGAAGGAATACATGCAGCCCCAGGAAAAATAGCGTGTTTAACAGAATGGTCGACACCCCGGAATCAAAAGGAACTCCTGCGATTCCTAGGACTAGTCAACTATATTGCCCAGTTCCTACCACACCATGCCACTGTGACAGCGCCGCTCACAGACCTCACTGGCAATGCAGAATTTGTCTGGACCCACACTCATGACCAAGCCTTTACCAACATCAAGGAATTGATTAAAAACGGCAATGTTATTCAACCTATCTACCATAGTAAACCAGAACCAATATGGCTGATTACTGATGCATTGGACGTTGGAGTTGGAGCATGGGTTGGGCAAGGGGCCTCCCATGAAACGGCGAGGCCGGTGGCATTACACAGCAGGAAGTTTACTAACTCACAAATGAACTATGGAACAACAGACAAGGAAGTCCTTGCTGTGATTGATGCTCTCGCCGCTTTCAACCACATCCTAATGGGCAATACCTTCACTACTGTCACCGACCACCAACCTCTCACTAATCTTAAAACAGAAAGAATACCGGGAAGAAGAAGAATGAGATGGATAGGCGAGATCAGCAAATACGATGCAAAAATCACCTATACCCCTGGAAGAACGAACTATTTAGCTGATGCTCTCTCCCGCCTATATGAGAATCAAGACCTCGCAAACCCTCCACTTGTTCATGACCACACAAGACACAGCGAGGACAGCACTGACGACACCTCCTATGAACAAGAACCATCAATGGCTACCGCCAGCTCTGCCGCTCCCTCCGATCCTTTCTCTTACACCATGTACAGTGCTGCCGGAACAGAACGAGGAAAGGACCTTGATGAAGAATGGAAAGACAATTGCACGCTCCGCAGCACACCTCCTCACGAACTTGAACAAAGCAGACTCCACTGGTCCCACTGTTACCACGACACCTGCCCTTTCCACCAGACAGAGATTAAGTTCGGAAACAGATACCAGCGACCGTACTATATGCCTGCTGATGATTCCAAAGACACCAGCTTCGATACCGTAGAGGGAGCAGAAGAGATAATCAATGAAGATGAATGGATCCAACCTCCTCATACCCTTAATCCTGTTCCAACACGATACCAAGGTCTTGAAGAACTCGAACAAGCAGCAGCCTACGTGGATGCAATATCCTATTTACAACCCCCACAGTCAGCCCCGCCATCCTCATCCTCCCATAATTGATTCACGACCACTATATGGTGGACCCTTACGAGTATACAACAATGAAACCATTGTCTCGGTCATACCCCCTACTATTCCCGAGCATCGGCGTCAACTCTACGAAACCTTTGAGGAAGAGGAAGCCCCTATCAAACCAACAAGAGGATCCCTAATCGAGGATGAACGAGATGTTAGATCGACTACAGAAGAATTAACCTCCTCATTCCAAAGCCAAATGATAGCAGGATATCGCTATGACCCGATTTACTTCAAAGCCATGGATAGCTCCAGGCATGGAGACCTCGCCCCCTACAACATATCCAAAGGAATGGTTTTTACCAGCACCCGTTACGGTGAACATTGCCTATACATACCAAAAGGCCATATGTTCAACGGAATGACAATTAGAGAATATGTCATATCCGAAATCCACAACAAAGGACACCACAGCGCGGACCGCAACCTTCAATATGCTTCTGAATATGTTTACTGGCCTGAGATGCGCAAAGATTTCCGTGATTTCGTCAAGCAATGTGGACTCTGCCAGGCAAACAAGGAGCGAACACAACTACCTGAAGGAAAGGCACAGACCCTCCAACTACCATATGAAATATTCGAATCATATGCCATCGATTTCGCAGGACCATTCAACAAATCCACTGGATTTGACACCATCTTGGTAGCTGTGGACCGATTCTCTGGATACACGTGGCTCATACCAATGAAGGTTACCGATTCCTCCAAGGATACCTGGAATAACCTCCAACGATACCTGTTTACCCCCCATAGGTACCCCTTATCTATTGTCAGTGATGCTGATCCCCGCTTTACTGCCAGATTCTGGAAGCAAACCTTGACCTCACTGTGAATAAACCACATTATGGCCGCCCGTGGACATCATGAGACAAATGGCCAAGCAGAAAGAAAGATTCGCGAGGTTAAGACCGGAATTAGGAATATGATCAATGAACGACAAACCAACTGGGAACCAGCCCTTGTTGAGCTCGCTGCATATATCAACGCCGGATTTTCAGATACCTTGGGAATGTCACTATACAAGGCAGTCTTTGGCCGTTAATACCCCCTCCTACCTACAACACTATTTAAGAACTCCTCAGTCCCTGCTTCTGACGACCATCTAAACCACCACCAAGCAATTCGGAACGATGCCTTCCAAGCTGTTAAGGCTGCCCGATTCCGAAGCACCACTACTGCCCAGAAACGACGACGCAAACATATCCCCATCTCACCAGGAGACATGCTCATGGTACACGGCAACATGTTCATTACCAATGTTGGACGCAGCAAGAAACTGCAACCCCAATGGCGCGGACCCTTCAAAGTCATATCCTTTGACGAGCATACAGAGAACTACACGGTCCAGATGGATGGACGCATGTACCGCCGCAATACTGCAGTCTTTCACGCCTCAGCTGTCAAGCGATTCCATCCAAATGACGACTCCAAGTTTCCTGGAAGGACCCACTCTCGGCCTGCTCCTATCATCATCGATAAGAAGGATGAATGGGAAGTTGAAGAAATCAAAGACCACCGCCTTTGGCATGGAAATGATCAGTTCCTAGTCAAATGGAAAGGATATCCGACGAGCGAAAACAGTTGGGAACCACTAGAAGGACTTGAGCACGCTATGGATATGGTAAACGGATGGTGGAAGGACAACATGCCAAACGAATCCCTCCCCCCAACAATCAATTATATCACCATGTGTTGGACACCTACGATGCCAGAAACTGAACGATGGCACAGAGAACTTGAAGACAGAGATGGATTTTGGGCACCATACTTTGAGTCGGAATTCGAAAGAAGCGATGAGGAGAATCAAGCTATGGAACAGGCCCTCGACAACTTTATCTAGTCACCAATCACCATCCGAATACCATAACGATGTCAAACTATGTGGAGCTCAATGTGAGGCAGCGACAACAGATTGTTGGACTGTTGTTGAACCGCGATGTTATCCAACTTGATGACTATTTCGAAATCCTCTGGATTGACTACTGTCCTGATTGCGATCATGCTTGGGTTGATGTACAGCACGAATCTGGCATTCGTGACTACTGTGATTTAGAGTTCTTCGAGTCTAAGTGTTTCCTTAGGGTTTCTTCTTGCCCCTGGTGTGATACTTATGATGAAGAATTTCTTGCAGAAACTGAAGCCATGAGTTTCTCGGAATCCGCTTTTGATGATTATTAGGTTTTGTTTGTTTAAACAGTTGTTTTGTTTTGGGGAATGTAACCGGTACGGGTACTCGGTTAGTGGTTTTGTTTTATGTTTTGTTTTAAGTATCGTTTTGATACTTGGTTTGTTTTAAGTATCGTCTGGTACTTGGTTTTGTTTTATGTTTTGTTTCAAGTATCGTTTTGATACTTGGTTTGTTTTAAGTATCGTCTGATACTTGGTTTTGTTTTATGTTTTGTTTTAAGTATCGTTTTGATACTTGGTTTGTTTTAAGTATCATCTGATACTTGGTTTTGTTTTATGTTTTGTTTTAAGTATCGTTTTGATACTTGGTTTGTTTTAAGTATCGTCTGATACTTGGTTTTGTTTTATGTTTTGTTTTAAGTATCCCTTTGATACTTAAAGAGTTTTACCAAAGTGTATCGATTGATACCTTTGATTAGTTTCGTTCATGCTAGACATGAACAGATTTGTGTATTTAAAGACCGCCTGTTTCTACGATAGAAATGGCAGACTTCGACAGACAGTATTTCAATATACTTGGTTGAACGGTTACTTCTTTGTTCCCCAGTACACCCTCGAAGCCTCCTTTCGTTCTCAGCTCTCGCCTCCTCTCTGGAAGAGCAGGCCACCTGCCAACTATCGTATCTATTACCGATAACGTGATTAGCAGCTTGCGAACACGTTACAAGAAGCAAAAGAAATGATTAATGAAGATGGATCGATCCAACCTCCCCATACCTTAATCCTGTTCCAACACGACACCAAAGTCTTGAAGAACTCAAACAAGCAGCAGCCTACGTGGATGCAATATCCTACTTATACAGCCCACAGTCAGCCCTGCCATCCTCTCCTCCCATAATCGAGTCACGGCCACTATATAGTGGACCCTTACGAGTATACAACAATGAAACCATTGTTTCTGTCATGGCTCCCACGATTCCTGAGCATCGCCGACAACTCTGTGAGACCTTTGAAGAAGAAGAAACCCCTGTCGAGCCAACAAGAAGGTCTTTCATTGAGGATGAACGAGATGTAAGATCAACTACAGAGGAATTAACTTCTTCTTTCCGAAACCAAATGATAGCAGGATATCGCCATGACCCAATCTACTTCAAGGCTATGGATAGCACCAGGCATGGAGATCTCGCCCCCTACAACATATTCAATGGAATGGTCTATACCAGTACCCAGTATGGTGAACATTGCCTGTACATCCCAAAAGGCCATATGTTCAATGGAATGACAATTAGGGAATATGTCATAACAGAGATTTACAACAAAGGACACCACAGTACGGACCGCAACCTCTGATATCCCTCAGAATATGTCTACTGTAACGTGTTCGCAAGGTGCTAATCACGTTATCGGTAATAGATAAGATAGTTGGCAGGTGGCCTGCTCTTCCAGAGAGGAGGCGAGAGCTGAGAACTA